TGCAAATCCTCCAAATTAATGCAATACGTCGATCAAGATCTTCCTTAATATGATCTACATAAAATTAAATCTAATGATTTTGTAAATCATTTTTTTAAGACAAATTTTCAACGCTGACAACATATAGGATATACATATATATTATAGAAAAAATTTGATTATTTTTTAAAACTTTATTTTTACTAGGATTACTAGAATTATTAAGAAAGTTAATACAATAATAGGATAGATCAAGAAAAGAACATGTTTTTTTATATCAAGTTCTATCTTAGAAAGTAATCCAATAAAAATTTGAAATTTTTTCTAAATCAACTCTATATATAAACATTTTATTTATTAAAAACCTATCCTATTATCTCTAGAGTTTGTTCATTTTGATATATCTTATCTTACTTTTCTGGTTATAATATGCATTCAAATAGTACTGATTTATATGCATATTGCAAAACCTATATATTAATGCTATTGATCTTTTATACTGTTTACAAGAAATTTATTGATATCTTATTCAGTGAATTAATTTTACACACTTCTTGTTTTTAAGTTGAAGCAACCTACAATCTTGCAATTGGCATTACCTAACACTATTTTTTTAGTATTTTAAAAAATAGCCAAACTGACGCAAAAAGATAATTCTATATCATACCTTAATATTTTATTAGATAATCAAGTTAACACAAAAAAGGTAAAAAGATTTATAATAGAATTCTAAATTATATAATTTATTATAAGTAATTGAATTATAATATTATTAAGATAATTAAATATATTTTAATTATTAAATTATAAAAATTTATATTTTATTTTAAATATTTTAAAATTTTTTGAGATTAAAATTTATTATTATTTAGATAACTTTTTTTAAACATTTAAAATTTTATTTAAATATAATAAAAAATTTTGCTTTTTAAAAAATTATTTTTAATTATATTTGATAATATTAGATAATAATATAACTTTTAGCTTTTAATTTTATTTATTATTGCTAAATGTTATTACAGTCAACTCTTATTATAACGAACTCTATATCCTAGACCTCAACTTCACTATAAGGCTATAGTGAAGATTTTAAGAGATTTGATTGGCCAATTTGCTATAACAAGAGTATTTTTATTAAAAAATTCGTTATATTAAAAATTATTTTAATGTATTACAAACAAGCTAGTATGGTTAGCAAATATCTAAAGAATCACGTGAAATTTGTTATAAACAAACACAGAAATTGACTTCACTTTCTTGAAATGTTTTTTGATTATCTTGAATTGATTAAGAGATCTACAAAAATTCAAACATGTTCACTTGACATTTCAAGGTTATGTGCAGTTTTATGTAATTTACATATGATCGTAAATAAAATCAATAAATGATTTACTTGTACGAAAAAAAAAATGGCGTTTTTAGATTCGAAAGAAAGAAAAAAATAATTTATTTATTTATTTTTTTTTTTTCCATAAACAAAAATTCAATCCAAATTAATCTTTAATAGTAACAATCATCATAAAAAAAGATAAAAAGTCTAAATATCTTGAAGTGAATATTCCAAAATTGGTAAGTATGCTTCCAAGCCCTGAATTCGAAATCAAATTTAAGGAGAAAAACGTAAACAAACAAAACTTGAATGTATCTTGCAACCAGATTAAGGATCAAATGAAAAAAAAAAAAAATTTTCAAAATATATATTCGGAAATTTGATTTCTCAATGGATAAATCAAAATAATTAAGATGAAGATAAATGATATCAGATCAATATTTGGAAGCTTGGAACCTTTTTTTTTTTTTAAGACCCTGCACCTTTGTTTATGTTGATTGTTTTGACGGTTAAATTTTTTTTAAAAAAAAAATTCAAGGGATGAGCAAACTAGGAAAGAACAGAACGTGGTATAGATTTATTGGCTTAATTATCGTAATAATGGAATTATCATTTTTTAATGCTAGATTTAGCAATACGAACCGTGCTTTGACAATATTGATTTCAGAATGTTTTTACGATGACATTCGTCGATATAAGAAAAAGGGATGTCCTTTTGCTTTTTTAGGTATTGAAGGAAGGTAATTATTTTGAAAAAAAAAAAAAAATTGATAGAAAAAACTTGATATCATTGAATGCATCAAAAAATCTTGAAACAATGGAATATTTTCTTTTTTCGATTGTTATTTCTCAAAGTTGAGGTGATAAGAATGAAAAGTGATATGTTTTGTAAGAAGAACAGGTTGACGTCTTGGTTTCACTATTGCGTTGCTTGCAGGTTGATATTGTTTGTCCTTATACGACCTAAATAAAACTGCACTTCATGCAAAGCTTTTATCTCTTTTTGGAAAGAGCGAGTCGAAGAGAAAACCTTTTTAGGATTCAAGGAATCTGGAGACATCAGTCAGTTTGATTAATTTGTACAATTTCTTTGGAAATCCTTTTTGAAAAAAAAAAAAAAATTGATCGTCAGCTAATGAATTTCGAACAAATTAATTTAATTGTTGCATTGTTAACCTTATTCGCCAACTAGGAAGGTGAAAAGCACATTGACTATCTAGTTTTGCTTATTTGTTACTGTTTATACTGACCAAAAGATTCAGCAACATTCTGCAAGTTTTATTAATTTTGGTAGCACGCACTTAGCCATTGACAAAATTAAACAATCTTTGAATCATAAAATCAGTCTATTCTTTTATGGAAGCCTTCGCTAAGCAATTTGGAAGTTTTGACTTCCCCATGACATGGGGAATCTTTTTAAATTTTACATTTGAGGAAATCATAAAAAAATCATAAAGAGAAAGAGGTTACAGGATTTGATCCCTCGAATGTCGCACCGACCACCAAAAACGGTATGTATATTAACGTCATTGAGTAATCTCACCCGGCATTTATTATTATGTCATGAATATTTAATAATAAATAAAAATAAGTGATTCTTTTTTAACAATAGATTAAATTATAATATGGTATTAAAAATAATTATAATATGGTTGGAAAACTGTCTAGGCTGCATCGTCAGATCTTGTTACGTTACCATACGATCAAAAAAATTCCTCAGCGGGATAATTTAAATGCGGCAATTTTTGGAACGTAAATCGCTATACCAAAAGATCATTATTATCCTGTTCACCCTTTACTATTTGATGCAATTTATGACGGAATGGATCTTCGTGGTTGGAGCTACAATTTCCTTATTAATTTTAATTACCAGTTATTTGTAATTCAGGGTGAAGTCTTCATTATTATTCAGTTATTAGTACTATCTATTATGTTTTATTATTTTAAATTATATCATGATTAATAGTTACGAAAGTCGGACCACATCTGGTCAAATTAAATGAAAGAAATCCCACGGCTAATCAGCCGCAAGTCGCAGTTATTTTTAAATTATGAAACATCATGCAAATTATTGAAATTCCGAATCCGAGCCAAGCAACACAATAACATCATGAGGAATCTAAAAATAATACAATTTTACAAAATTTATAGTGATTGTAAATGATATTATTGTCTTTTTATTATAAAATGTGTAACAGGTTCATTTCAACAATGTAAGCCTTGCATTTTTTTTTTTTTTTTTTTTTCTTCTCATCCAAAATTCTCAGCATTTCCCCGCAAACACTCATTTACGGGAACACAACTATTGAATAGACGTTGTTATCACATACCTTAATTTCTATATTCTAATGTATTTATATTATACCTTATTAGACTATGATGTGCAGAAAAAAACGATGATTGCTCGTGATATTCCTTTTTATACATATTTATATTTTATATTATGCAACTCATTACATTTATAAATCTCTATAAAAATTTCGATCTTTTTTCACCCCCACTTTTACCAGTTTCAATTTCAATCAAAAAAAAATTTGTTTATTTTTTTATTTTTTTCTTCTTTTTTAAAAAGTTATTCATTTTCAAATGTTTCAATAAATCTAAAACCTATGAATAAAAGATAATTTAATCATTGATCGTCGAATAAGGTAACAAAGCTCAAACAAAAGGTAAGGCAAAGAAATGCTATTATTATGTTTTTTTTTTTAAAAAAAAAATACTACTAGCTTACTAGGGGGGAGTTCTAAGGAGGTTTTCTAAATAGATTATATCATATTTTTTTTTTAAAGTTTCTCTCCCATTTTTACTATATATACATAATTATAAAAATAAATGGGGTTTTAAATGCGCCAAAAAAAAAAAAAAATTTTTTTTTCAAGTGAGAATTTCGGTCCTCTCTTATTATTTACTGTTTGAAAATTCCTTTATCCTCGGTTTACTTTTTTTTATCTGCGAAACAAAAAAAAAAAAAAAAAATTTGAAACGTTTGAAATAAAATACCACTCTTATATTTACGAACGCGTTTGTTTATTTTTTATATTCATTTTTTTATTTTATTTTATTTTATTTTTTTTTTCTACAAAGTTAGTATTTATATGAATGTTAAAATTAATTGTTGATTTTTATCATTTTATTGCATAATCAAATGCTAAAATAATTCTCTATTTTATCATATCCTTAACGACAAAAATTCTTCTATAAGAACGACAAATAAATAACTTGGAATTCATTGTTTTAATTGCCGACGAAAAAAATCTACAGTCAAGTAAACATTCCTCATTCACGGTCCACGAATCAACCAGCAAAATGTGGCACAGAATTCTAAATACATCATCAACGTCAACTCTCGTATCATCAAAACACTCTGAATCAATCGATAAATCAGAGAGCAGTAAACCAATGTTAAAGAAGGCTATTTCCATGGACTCTCTACATAAAAAACCTGTATATTTAAAGAAGAGAAATGGTAGTCTTGACACAAATGGTTTCGGTCAAAGTTATTGGTTTACAAACGAAAAGGTAAAAGTGGTTTATCATTGTTCTTATCAAGCATATCGTCGCACGAATCGGATTGGTTTACTGTACGTTAAATTATTTATTTATTTATTTATATTTTATTTATTTTTATTTTTTCATTAAAAAAAAGAAGTCCCCCACAAGTGAACACTCGACAAGTTCACAGGATGAGACTTATGTGGTCGCTTTGATTGGTAAACCGTCCGTTGGTAAATCAACAATTGTGCGGACAGGTTTGAATAACTTGGCACCAATAACAAATGTCGGCAGAGAAACAAATATTTTACATGGTATTGTATGATAGATATTTTAAATGAAATAAAACAAACAAAAAAAATAAAATTACTAATACAATCATCTTTTCTTTTTTTAGCTCCAACATTAATAACAGAAATTGATGTCGATGACCATGCGTATCCTGTTGAAGTGTTAGAAGTTCAAGAGAGTGTTTTCGACATGAAAGCTCCTCCCGTTCGATGGCCAAAAGTACGAATTCATTGTCCTTCATATAGTACATGTTAAATTTTTTTTTTTTTTTTTTTTGCTCGACTTATTCATTGCTTTAATTTAGGACCTTCCCGAGATTGATGGGATTCTGGTTTGCTATGACGTCACATCACGTGCGTCGATATCGAACATAGAATGGCTTCTGAGTATGGTTTCTTCTTTTTTTTCCTCCCTAAATAAGCACCCTTTTCGTGATTTTCTTATGTCAGCCGAATTGATCACGTGATTTCTTTTTGCAGATGCTTTCAGAGAGTTTCAAATCCCAACAATATTGGTCGCTTGCAAAGCAGACTGTGAATCATCAAAACGACAAGTCGATACATCATTCGGCCCAACCCTTGGTGATCTATTTAACGTTGGTTTCATTGAATTGGACACAAGATCGGATGCCGGAATACAGAAAATTCATGACGTATTCTCAATGTTACTAAGATTATCGATACGGCATCGAGGTTTTTATCATCTATAACCTAATTTATTTTATTTGCTTATCAAAGATGAAATTTCATCAAGTTTATTTATATTGTAGAATTCTTTCGACAAGGTCACGTTAAAGGAGCCGACTCGTCATCAGATTCATTATTTTTACACAGCGTAAGCAGTGATGCTGAATCGGAAAAGGCAGCACTAAGTCACAGAAGAACGTCAAGTGACTTAAGTCATGAGTCAAGGGGACGAAGAAAGTTTTCAAATTTATCGGCGGTACGATTTATGGGAAATCGATATGGTAGTCGCTTCGGAACTGCTAAAGTTTATTCGCGAAAATGTAAGATAATATCTCGTGTATACATGCATTTGTTTATATGATTTAAAGTTAAACAAAAATTCAAAATATTAAAATTTTTTTTTGATTCCATTTTTAGCGCGATCCCCCTTAAACAGGCTAAGTAGTGATGATGAAGGTGGATCTCTTTCTCGTTCACTTCCTCGTTCTATACCAATTTCCGAAGTTTCTAAACATTTTTCATCTATAGTAATAACTCCGCCGCAAACGCCCCCGACACATTCAATCTTATCTCAAGTTTCTCTACCTCCAGCTCCTGCATCTCCAATTAAACCTCACCACCCCGAAAGGAATTCTTATCGACGATCCATTTTACCTTCATCGAACCTACTGCAAGTTATGGAGGTGGAAGAAGAAAGGGATATTGTCTCTGTGAAATCCGCAAATAGTAGAATTTCATCTGCAAGTTATGATTCTACTTTAAGTTCGATCAGTGGAAGGAGTGATAATTCTTTAAATTTGGAAGGTTTCTTTATCAACGATATTTTAGATAAGGGACCAAACAAGTGCACTGGGTATTTATGTTTCTATATACGAGAGATCTTTTTAAAGGGTGTTTGTATGAATTCGTTAAACTTTATTATTCTAATTCATAGAAATCGTACGGATGGTATGACAATCGACGAATTGATTCATCGATTAACTGTTGGAGGTCAATACGGTACTACATATGATGATCCATTTACGATCACCTTCTTTGTTATTTACCGAACCTTCATGAGACCTCGAGATGTTTTGGTCAAGTTGATTCAAAGATTTTATGAATGTGAAAAAGATATTAGGGATAATCGAAATACAACTCATGAAAAGTACGTTATCGCCAACAACGATTCTTTTTTTTTTTTTAAAAAAAAAAAAAAAGAACCCCCCGATAAACTAAATCGTGTAATTTTTTTTTTTATTATTATTAGAATATGTAACTTGTTGTTTACTTGGATAACTCAACATCCAAATGACATGATTCATCCTCATACACGGAAGATGTTGCGTCAGTTATTTGGCAAAATTACAACATGCTCTCATCTTTCGTATTATGCTGTCATTCTTGACCCCTTAGTTAATGGAACAGTACCTGAAGAAGATCCTGACTCTATATGGGGATTTAGCGATGTTGATGATGAAGAGCTTGCCAGGGAAGAGGAAGTAAAGTGTAACGGAGACACCAATAAACCGTCCTCTAAAAAAGACAGTGGTATTGGTAGCTTGTTCAGTGACAATCCGGACGATTATCAATCGGAGTTAACCGCATCATACCTTGGACATCCTTGTCGGCCGAGTCTTTCAAAACACCGAAAAGCTTCTTTAATCATTGTAAATAATGGATCGTCCGGAAGGCCGATATGTCAGTTACCTTTCGAAGAATTTCCTGAAAAGACGATTGCAAATGAACTAACCTATCAAGAGTTTCAACTTTTCAAAAAAATTACGGCGAGAGACTTGTTGAGACATATTTGGTCGCCACAAGGAAGTCCACAGCGTGAAAATGGTAGAGTTGCTCAATCCATTAAACATTTCAATTTCATTTCAAATTGGTAAGTTGTTTGTTGAACATTAATGATCAATTCAATTAATCATTTTAAACAATAATAATAATTCTAATTCTGATTATTGTTGTATCCGCAGGGTTTCTACAATGATTTTATCTCAAGAAAAATTGAAATATCGCGCTTCGATGCTGAAAAAGTTCATGAAAGTTGCAGTGGTGAGTGTTAACGCGAACGCTTCATTGATTTATATTAAAAAAAGCTTATTATTTATTCTCATGTTTTTCAATGCTTTCTTTTTGACAGATTGTTCGAGAATCTAATAACTATAATACTTTGATGGCAATTATTGCTGCGATCAATTCTGCGCCAATCTCACGACTTCGTCGTACACGCGAAATTATAAAAGGAAAGTCGACATATAAAAAATTTCATAATCTGGAAGTTTTAATGTCAACGGACAAGTCCTTTGGTAATTATCGAATGGCATTGAAGGCACCTTCAAGGGGGAATGACGAACTATTAGGGATACCTTATCTGTAGGTTACATTTAATGAATAAAATAATTCGCTGCATTTTAATTGTCTTCCATATTTGTCTAACTGATACATGTAATTTATGCGTATACAATATATAGCGGTATTCATTTACAGGACTTATTGTCTATCGGAGAGGGGAATAGGAATTTTCAGGAAGATGGCAGAATTCATTGGAACAAGTTCTCTCTCATGGGTAGTGTCATCAACATGATCCGAAAGTTTCAAAAGAAGTATGTACAATCCTTAAAATTGATTTGATATTTGTTCGTCGATATATTATCCTTGGAGTGGTACAAATTAAATCATATTATACTTTATTGTTGTATAGATCTTATGATATTAAGAACAATAAATTCATTGAAAAGTTTATTGCCGATACATTGGTGATGAGCGATGATGTAAGTAATTTTTCGTCCTTTTTCGTCCTTAATAAGTTAAATTTTTTGTAAGTGACGATGGTGATTAAATTTTTTTTTTTCATTTCATTTATAGGACCTATATAATAGGTCATTGGATCTTGAACCTCGAATTCAAAGGTCTTCTAGTACAAGTAGAGTACGAAGGTAGATTGGCTGGCCAACTGGATGATATCACAAAAAAGCACATTGGACAATTATTTCTCGAATACAAAAAATCAAAAAAAAAAAAAGGAAAATAAAAATTTTTAAAAAAAACATTCTTACTTCGTTTATATGAACGATTTACATGCTTCAGTTTTCTTACTATACTTTTTTTTTTTTTTTTAAAAAAAAAAAAAATAGAAGAAAAAAAATCTTTCCTTTCTATTGAAATAATTCAACTTCCTTAACAGAAACACCCTTTGTATATATTTATAATTACATAGTTTTTAATTATCGTATATAGTTTTTTTTTTTTTTACTTTGGGTTTTGGTTATTATATTTTTGGTAGGCGGGCTTTTCTAACTAAAACAACTGAAAACGGTATTTAGGTTCCTCTTTTTTTTTTTTATGAGATTACGGGACGATGTAAAAATCTATTGTAACATACATATTCTAAAATATCCCAAAAAAAAAAAAATACGATATAAAAATATTTTGTGTCGTTTAGTATAATTATCACTATTATATATATATATTATTTATATATATGTATTATTTTATTATTTTTAATATTAATTAGTATTAATGTAATTTTATTATAATAGTTTTTATTTTATTTTATTTTTTTTTTTTATTTTTTTTATTTATTTTTTTTTTTTTAGTTGGTTTTTTTTTTCAAAATCGAGCATTGATTTTTTTTTTTTTTTTTTTTCATTTTAAGTAATATTTTTAACAATAACATTTGAGATTTATTGAAATTTGAAATAAAATAACTTTTGCAATCTTGAAAATTTATGACATTTCTACCCAATTTAATCACGTCTCTACTCAATAAAACGCATAATAGCAGGCAACGTTTTTCGTTAAGGATTTGTTTCACAAACATGAACAGTTTATTCGATCTAATTTTTTAAAATATATTCATATTAAAAATCCGTAGAGAATATTTGCTACGCCACACAGTGATTTCACTCTTGCGAATTCATTATTTGATGATGAGATATCGCGTACCAAAGACTTACGTAATCAAATAACAAAACCCGGAAATTCAGAATTTTATGCATGAGATATAAACAATGTAATGCAATAATCATATGTTAACAAATCTTTTATATTATAAACCATAAAAGTCTATTATTGTAGTTGGTTCTGTTTAAAAGATAGCTTTTGACAGGTTTTATTTTATATTACATAAATAAATAAGTATAATATATATAAAATAAAAAACGATGCACACCATCTTGCATAAATTCTATATATTATTAAGAGTGCGATTTGTTTTATGAATTTATATCATGAAAACATTCTTGAAACCTTATTTTGTCCCAACTCTCATTTGTATAAAATGATTCGCAACCAATTAACTAGAATTTTTTCCTATAAATAGCATATAATATAATAACAAACGCAACTACCATCATATTACATTCATTGTTAAGACCAATCAATTAGATGATTTGCATATTGTGTGATAAGAAATCTCGGATTTTATGATCTCCTCAAAACCTTTGAACATCTCAATCCGGTAACTCGGATCATTTTTTTTTCGTTTTCATTTTTTTCTTTTTCTCCTTCCCATATAAACATCAATTGTAGCGAACCTCCTAGTCCTCTTGATCAAAATCCCATGACCGCCTCAAGTGATCAGGATTGATAGACTTTCTCCCCATCCCCCGAGAAATGGTATTGATGAGAACGATACTTTGGGGGAATATGCTAACTTGGTTCGCAAACATATTTGGGAAAGAAACCTTTTTCGAGGTTGTACGCGCTTGCATATCTACCTTGTGAATATTTCATACTAATAAGCATTCATGTTACCATTACATAATTTAACAGTATATTTTTTTGACAATATTCAAAATTGGGGAAAAAAGATTTTATCAAAATCTACAAAAAAATAATATTTTTTTTTTCCCTTATTTTGTTTTTCCAGATTTGTGACGGATTTGCACAAAGAAAGTTCGATATCGAAATAGTTATCCACAAAAGGTTAATCTTAATTTATTTACTATTACTATAAATAGTTTCATTAAATTGAAGTTGGGAAATGTGGGTTACACCGTTACATTAATCCCTATAATATATGTCCTTTTTCTCCCGAAAATCTTGTCCGAAAACATTTTGGTAAACAGTCAGTCTTTTGAATAATACCAGTTTGCGTTTTACTATCTCCAACGCATGTAGAGCTTGACTCTGGCTCTCAGCATTTCATTCCTTTTTTTTTTTTTTTATTTTCCTTACTGGCTTACGTTTTATACTTTACGTCAATAGGAACTTATTTTAATTTAGCAAATACCAAACATGTTTGGATCGCTGGCCGAAAAGCTGGTATGTTTTAAGCCACACTCATTTCACCAACCTTGTAATTGGGAATTCAAGATCATTATATGCTGAACAACAGTAAACGAGCTCTATCATTATAATTAGTATTTTTTTTTTTAAAAAAAAAAAAAAAATTAAAAAAAAACTTGGAGTGCCTCTTTTATTTTTATTTTATTTTATTTTTATTTTTTTAAAAAAAGAAATTTATTTAATTCCCGAATTATTTTGGCTAATTCTAAATTTGGCCTTATTGTAGTTTGGCCAATCTCAGTACGCTAGATATGCATTCACGGTATCGTTGTGTCAAGCAATTATAGCGACAGTACTGGAGAGCTTTGTTTTTGTAACACATACAAGGGCTGTGAATCGAATATTTGAAATTGAAAAAGAAGTAAGCGATGATCACGGTACACATAAGGACTTTGCAGACATATACGCCCAAGCAAAGAGCATGTCAATATATCATATTCTATTTATCGTCAGTCAATTCTTCCAGCTAGGGTTATGTTATGATGCGGTGAGTGACATTATTATATACATCATCACGTATCATAACAAATTTTTAAATCCCATTTAATTCGAATAACAGCTTTATCATCAAAATACAATTCAACTTGTCGCGCTAAGCATATTCATATTTGCTGGCTTTTCTTTCTCCGCAATCCAAGGTAAATCATATATATATACAAATACTTGAGAATTTTTTTATTAATCATGAGACGAATTATTAGTGTACCAATCGACTTCCTTAATTTCTACCAATGGAACTCCGCATGCTATCCAAGCGATTTTGATACGACCAGGTTACCTTCCCAAAGATGCTGTCCCTTTTGAAGTTGCCATTATTGTAGTGATGTTTATTTCTTCGATAAGCTTCGTTTACTTGTCTTATAAATTGTATCAAGAATTTGGTTGGTCAATATATAAAAAGATTGGAGCTGACATGGAAATGAGAGGTATATATTAAATTTAATATCAATCTTTCATTGATCTATATTGACAGAAATCATTGGTTATTGATATAATTTCTTTTTGTCATTATTAGATCGTTATAAAATATATCAGAGTAAGTTTGATTGCGATTTCGTCCTTTGTGATTTTAACTTTTCTTAAGGAATTTAATACTTACCAACTTGCGCTTTTTTGTTTAATAAATTTATATATAGTTTTCATTATGCTTTTAAAGTTTGATGTTTTCTTTCTCCTTGGATTCTCGTTTCAATTTTTAGCTTTGGTTGTTATCCTGGAGGCATTAAGTGACCTTTATCTTCACATAGTACTGTCAGTGTTAACATCGATAGGAATGCTAATAGTGGGGTTTTTGGGGGTCAAATCAGAGAAAAAGGTCTACATGTATCTGTTCATGGTAGGAATTTGTGCGGCAGAAGGTTATATTATAGCAAAGATAGTGAATGTGACGGAGAATCCAAATAATAAATATCGTGGCACAAAAAATTTTGTCACATTTTTTCGTAAGTAATTCAAGTCTTTGGTTTCAAAATTTTTGTTTTTTTTTTTATCGACTCTTTTTTAAAAAAATTTTTTATATATTTTACTCGTAGTTTGTGTCTGCTTGGTCCTTGGCGTGGTAAGCGTTTATTAATACTAAAATATTGTTTTTTAAACAAATTCTTTTTATATTAATTTATGTTTGTATATGTTATACTTTTAGATAACCTTTATTATATCATTCCTTTGCTTAAGGAACTTTGACAAAGGATTGAAATTTCATCGTGAGTATGCCATTTTATACAAACTCGGGTGGAAGGGAGGTTCCATGATGTTTAATCCTAATTTCATATTTTATGAACAGTCTCACGTAGCACGAGCCTTACATCAAAAACAAATGGACCAAACTTGGATGAAAATGATGTTGAATATAGCCTTGAAACTGTAAATCGAACCACACAAAGGTGGTCCATTGATTAACGATTGGATTAAATGATGTAAAATTTAATTATTCAATAATTCAACAGAAATTTCAAAAACAAAAAAAAAAAAAAAAAAAAAATGGGAAGAGAGAGTAAAGAAGGTTGAAGGATTGAATTGAATGTCTTCATTTCGCACTTTTTGTAATCTGCCTGATATATCATATATTTTGTTAAAATAGGTTATTATTTATTTAATTTAATTTTATTTAAAAATTCTTGACTATTCTCTATTTCCTTCACCCTTTTTTTTATCCTTCCTTTTTTTCTTTTTTGTGTATAGTTTATGAAGGGAAGGTAGAGCTTTAATTTACTCCTAATGCTTTAAATTTTATCATAAAAATTTGGAACGTTCTCTGAAAAAAATTTCGTTGCGCACGAGCTTTTTTTTTTTCTTTTTTTTCTCGATATATAAATTATTTTTTTTTAATCTTTCTTCCATTTTATTATTTTTTTTATTTCATTTGTATTTATGTAATTTTTTTGCCCTATATCTTCGTAAAAAAAAGCAAAAACCAAAAAAAAAAAAAAAAAAAATTTCAAATACCTTGTATTCTACTTGTATTCTTTAATCTTCACACATCAATGTACACCGAATTGTAATTAAAACAATTTTGAATTTTAGAAATTAATTTCTCTGGCACGTGGAAATAACCCAATTCGAGTATAACATGGTCAAACCGTTGTAAATTGTCACATTGAAGATTCAAGACATAACGATGGTATAATGCTTGATTTCCTTTGTTTCTCGTTTCTCGATATGACCATAATCAATCCAAAATGTCTAAATAGATACTTGTTCCCTTTTTTCTTTTTTTTTTTGTTCAGACAGATCTTTCTTTTCCTGGATTCCTGCCATGAGCAAGTTTCTGCACGCGATATTCCAAGGTTAAAGATTATATATATAATTCTTTAAAATAATTTCTAATTTTAAAAAATTAGGTTACCTTGAATTTTATTTTTAGACCAAAGAGGTTTAAATTATTGAAAAATTAATTACTTAACGATATGTCAACATACCGTACTTACGTAACTTTAGATGATTATCTTATTAATGACTGAAAAATTGCTTTAAAAATAATATTAATAAATTTTAGTGACCAAATGAATTTTTTTTGGTGGGGGGACGTCTAATTCTTATTTTCGGTATGTGAATGCGAGGCGCTTTATAAGACAATCAGTTTTTACAACTTTTTTTTATAGATCATGTGATCAATTGTAATGGTTAAAAATTTGTTAATTCATTGTCTTTTCTAACTTGCTCTTCACGTGATATATAACGCATCAGTTCAGTGATTGGTTGATTAAAAAAACGCTCATAATTAATTGAATTATTAAAAAATTTTTCTCGTCTTGTTCTTTCATCAAAAAGTGCAATGAAACTTACACCGGAACTTATCGAACGATCACTTAGTTTTATCAATGCTGTCAAAGATCGTGAACTCGATTTGCGGGGTATCCTTTAGAAAGGGTTGTCGTCTCTTATATGTTATAGGGTAAAATATGCGTTCCAATAAGCGAAACGAGTGATATTTGATATTGTTTAGCTAGCCTTCTTGTAGATCAATTTATAGTAAATATGTGGGAGAAGGGAAGAGTGTTAGCATTAGTTTTTCTGTGTAGAGTTTCTTTTACTTATTGAATAATAAAGAACATTTTTTTTTCCTCCCCAATATATTCTCAATATTATAAAAACAATGGGCAATGATCAACTAAAAGTGACATTGCCCTGTATTATATTATTTTGGTTTGGGTTTGGATTTGGATTTTGTTTGGCTAAAAAAAAAAAATCTTTCCATATTGTTCCCTGACTCGAAATTCTTTTTATCCTTTTTTTTATCTATTAGGTAACAAAATTCCCGCTATAGAAAATCTTGGTGTATCAAAGGCAAGTTATCAAATAAATAAATAATAAATAATAAATATTTTATTTATCATAATCAAAATGTTAATTTCTTTTGCCTTATTATTATTATTTAGGATCAAAATGATACTATTGATCTAACAGATAATGATATCCGCGTTCTTGGAAATTTTCCGTTATTACGCCGAGTTAGAACTTTATTATTAGCGAATAATCGTATTACCCGCATTGACCCACAACTATCGGAATTTCTTCCTAATTTAACAACTTTAGTTCTGACTAATAATAACGTATCAGAATTATCAGATATTGATCCTTTATCGGGATGTTCTAGTTTACAATATATTAGTTTATTAGATAATCCTGTTACAAGAAAACAATGGTATAGAAGTTGGATTATCTGGAGAATTAAAAGTGTTAGAGTCCTGGATTTTAAGAGAATTCGTGATGTGGTGTGTATGAACATTCATTTTTATTTTTTTTTTTGTCTTTGTTTAACGTGATTATCAAATTTTTGGGGTAAATAGGAACGTAAAGAAGCTAAACAATTGTTTGAAGCATCAAAGGGTGAAATGACTTCTCTTGCCAAATCCATCTCGGAAGTCGCATCCAAGACATTTGAACCAGGCGAAGGATTGATTCCAAGCAAGGGGGCTAATCTTCCAAAATCAAACTTGCCAACACTTGGAATGTCGTTAGAAGAGCAAAATAAAATTAAGGTATGATAAAAACTGTTAGACTTTACCAATGTTAATTTAAATTTTTTACACGGTTTTTTTTTCTCCTACCATTTAGGAAGCGATTCGTAATGCTAAAACTTTGGAAGAAGTCACGCGTCTTGAAAAATTATTACAATCAGGACATATTCCCGGAACAAGATCTATTGGTGAAATTGGGCAGGGAGAATCACAAATTGATGAGGATGAAGAAATGGAAAGTTGAATTTGTTTAACATAATTATATATGTTTTTTAAGAAGCATAGTGATTTTTTTTTTTTTTGTTTTTGCAAAATAAACCAAACTAAAGACAAAATTTAAGATCTAGTTTACATCTGTTTTCTCACGATTAGAACTTAAAAATCATTAAATTTCTTTGCCTATCTACTTTAGTAATTGATACCACGGGCAAGACACTCCAATCATTTTCATAAATTATCTTTGAGAATATCTTATACCATAGAATTTATCCTCGGCAGTATTATTCTTATTCTTATTTTCACATAAGACAATATACTTAAAAAAGAAAAAAAAAAAAAAAAAAAAGATTAGGTGTATATATATATATTCTCTTTAACGAATAAATGTATATTTTTTATATTTATACATCAATACATAGATGAAGATTATTATTTGGTTTACGATCATAAATTAAAAAGTTTACCACCAACAAATAATTTAGTATTTATTCCAATTTAAGTAATTCCATTGGGATAACTTAGATCATTGATAGATAGCGATCTTAGTTACATTTGTTTAATAAATTAAATGCCTATCAAAAATATTTTATTATATTTATTAATATAATGATCATTAGTAATATACAATTCAATTTTTTTTTTGTTTTTTTTTTTAATCTAAGGCATTTCTCAGAAAAAAATTTAAATCAAGTTTAAAGTTTAATAATTAAATAGAAATATATACAAACTTGCCTATTTACTTTAAATTTATTTCTGATTTACTTTTATAAAACAATTATAATTTTTTATTATTAATTTTTAATAGAAAGCTATAATATAATATATAAAAATTTAATACTTTTATAATTTATTAAAAAATTTATAACATTTATTATTCAATTTGATACAAACAAAATTTCAATAAATTAATAAAATATATTATCCGGTATCCCGTGATTTTTTATAATTAACAATGAATATAATAAATCGTTTATCAGACAAAAATCATTTATCAGATAAAATATCATTATCAGGTATTAATAACTTTTATTAAACATTATTTGTATTAATAAAATTACATTATAAACTAATTAATTATATATAGAACAATTAGTATAATAAATTTTATTTATAATTATTTTTTTTTCTTTTTTTATTTGTATTTAATTCAGAAGATGAAATTTTTTGTAATGACCTTTTATTTTTTTTTATTTAATAATTATGAAGCCTTGTTAAAACCATTGGATAACTATATATTTAAATTGAATATTAAGATAAATTCAAAATATAATAATATTATTATAATAAAGATGTAAAAAATATCTTTTTTTGAATGCATTATATTTATTAATAATATTAGATTATTTATTTTTTTTAAAGTTTTATTAAGTGCAATATAATGTTTTAAAAAAATTAGTTTTATCTAAAAAAGAATAATTCTATCATAATTTGGAATTTTTAACATGATTGCTTATTGAGATATAGTATTTTTCAAGAAAGTTCTTAAGTAGCTTTCACCTTTGTTATTCTCATATCATATATAAATTTATATATTTTATTTTTTATTTGTTTATTAAAAAAAAGTAATTTTAAAATGTGGTATAGTTATATCTTTATGCTAAATATTCAAAATATTGATACATTTTTCAATGTATTTAACTGTATTTAATAATATACAGCTTTGTTGAATCCTTAAAAGTTTTTTAGTTATAGATTTGAAATAAGTTTAAAATTTACTAGTTATTAAAATTAAAATTATATTTATATAATTTATAGCTTTAATATATAAAATTTCTTATAATTTTCATTAATAAAAATAAGTTTATAAAAGTAAATTATTTGTAAAATAAAATTATATGAGAAAAAATTGTCTTAAAAATAATTATTTATTTATAAAAAATAGTAAATAGCTTAATCATAAGACATTAGATAAATCATTTATCTGACACTTCAAGTCAAATAATTTTTGCTATCTATAAACTAATAATATTAGAAATAAAGATGATGTCATAATATTATAATGCTTATTTATCACCTGTTATAACTTAAATTTTAATAATATTGCAATTTGTTATAACATTGTGATGCTTATTTGTCACCTGTTACAATTAATTAAGGCATCATCTTTAATTAGAAATCAAATTTAATTTGTGATTTCGAATTTCTTAGAATCTTAAATCAACTAATCAAATTTAATTTAGCTAATAAAATAATTATTTAGTATTTTATACTGAATAACTATTAATTATTTGATTTTAATTTGATCTTAATAATTTAAAAAATTGATATTAAATCAAAAGTAATTCATTTTTAAACTAATTTTTTAATTTCAAAATTAATAATAAAGTACTGTAATAATATTACAGTCAACTCTCTATAAATGCATCCTCTATAAATACACACCTCATATAAATGTACCCTAAAGTCCGGTCCCATGCTCGGGACTTAATGCTAAATGCACCCCTCCCTTTTCGCACTGTGCAGCGATTTTTTAGTCTGAACTATATATACAATCATCTCTCTAAATGCACCTCACGTGACATTCACGTGACTCCATCGTAAATATTTCATCATCGTACATCTTCTGGTGAAGTATATTCCATCGTTACCAAAAAAAAAAGTTGGAAATTCGTTAAATTCGTTTCAAAATAAAATACTGAAAGAGTGAAAAATATATTTTCCTTTTTTTAGTTTCCATTTTCTCCAATATTAGGCATTATTACTTAATCTAATTTATTGTTATCTCTATAATCAAAAGTCAAACTCTAACCGCAAACTTAACTTTAATAATAACCGTCAACTTCAACAACAACTGCCAACTTTAACAGTAACAACCGCCAATTTCAACAGCAACAACCACCAACCTTAACAGCAACAACCACCAACTCCGACAACAACTATTGCCAACTTTCAATTTCAACTTCCAGCTTCAACTTCCTTTTAATTTCAAACCCTAACTTCCAATTTCTTTCAATTCAAATAACTTCAA